TGTGTGTTTTTTTGTTGTTTGTTAATCCTCACCTGAGGATATTCTTTCCATTGATTTTTATAGAGAGTGGAAGGGAGGGAGGAGGGAAGAGAAGGAGAGGGGAGAGAAAAGCATCAAAGTGAAAGAGCCAACCAGGAGGGGGAAGCTGCAATCCAGGTATGTGCCCTTGATAGGGAATCAAACCTGAGAGCCTTCAGCGCTCGGGTCAACACTCCAACCATTAAGCCATGAAGCCATGCTAGCCAGGGCTCTACAACTTATTTTAAAAGGACATACATAGTCTAGCTGGGAAGAGTGACACCTTTGATTTTGACAAATATCCCAATATCTCATTTTGCATTCCCCTATCTTAATGTTCTATGTAGAACCACCTGGCAATTTTCTTATTATCTATTTGTCTAGTCTACTCTTACTAGAATTTCACATGGACATTGTCTAGTTCACCATATCAAATGCTTGGTACATAAAAGAGTTTCAGTAATTTCATACATTAATAAAAATCTAACAATTTTCATTAAAATACTTGAGATTAAAAGAAAAGTATGGCAACTTAAAAGAGAAAGCTTTAAAGTTATTGGAACTATTAATTTATGTGAAGAGACAGTATCATTCTCTTTGAATATCAGATTAAGTAAATGCTATCAGAAATAAAGTATCATTAAGTACTCACCAATCTTCTACCAATGTGTTATTCAGGTAGGTCAGCATTACGAGGGTCCACTGAAGTTCTTTATCTTCAAATAACTCAAGGGCCTTAATATAAGATGTATCTTTACTATGTTGTATAGCTATCGTAGAAAAATCTACAGGACCAACTTCTCCCAAGCAGCTCCCAACAGCCTCTACATACAGAAATTACATTTCAGTAGAGTTATAGCTAAGAGATCATACATACAACAAAAATTTCCTGAGTTCCAAAATATAATGTTACTCTGTCATCCTTCAAGAGTTCAGTTTCTCTCAAAGATTTGGAATAAATTAAAGCAGCAACAAAATATTGTATCACTTCCTTTGCATATCATCCATGTGGGCAATAATTTTTCCTATAGAATCATATCCAAGAAACAGACTAGTCACAGAAATATAGATATTAAGGATGAAAGTTTAAACATAGCTACTGCATGAGAATATCAGCAGACTTTGAAACTTAAAAACTTTTTGATATTAAGTACATAAAGTTCACTAACCTTAAACACTAAGTTCAGCAAAAACTCACACATACACAAATGCGTGCATGCACACACACATAATTCATTTTTTCTCATCTGTATTATTACTACCCAGATATAGATAGAACACTTTCAGCATGCCAGAGGACTCCCTCATGTTCCTTGCCATTCATGGTGGAATTTATTAAAATATGTTCACAAATTCTCTGATAGTCCTTTCAAAAGGTGAAGCCAATTTATGTTGGGCTGTGCTTAGTGACTGGCTTCTAACAAAGAGAGTGTGTACAAGTTTTCCATCTCCTTGACTAAGTTTATCTGCACGTATTTAACTCTTAGACACTATTACAAATGAAATTATAAATGAAATAGAATTTCCTTTTTAGATCGTTTACTGCTGGTGTACATAAACACTACTAAATTTTGTGTGTTGCCCTTGTATCCTAGAACTTTGTTGCCCTTTTATCCTAGAATAGAGATAAATTTATCTCTATTATAGTAGCTTTCTTATAGATTCTCTGGGATCATATACATATATGATTCTGTCATCTGTGAACAGACATCATTTTACTTCTTCCTTTCCAATTTGAATAATTTTTATCTCTTTTTCTTGTCCAATTGCTCTGGCTATAGCAGTGGTAAAAGTGGGCAACCTTTCTCGTTCCTGATTTGAGGGAGAAAACCATCAATCTCTTACATTAAGTATGATGTTAGTCATGGGTACAAAGACTTTATGCTACACAGGAAAGCCACTTACGTTTCTTGCGGTAAATGAGATTTATCCCCAGAGCCAGTATTACTATGGACAAAGGGGTAAATTCCTTGGTTAAAGAAAAATTCTAGGATGCTGATAGGTTTTGTTTCTTAGTCTGGGTGCTAGATGCACAGGTGTGTGTTCTGCTTGTAAAAATTCTTCAAGTGATATGCTTATGATCTGTACAATTTACTGATGTAAGATATATTTCAATTAAAAATTTATCAAAAAATGTTAAGTAACCTAGATAATAGGCTCCCGATGAGAAGTAAAAAAGACTCCATTGAAAGATAGTAAGATGTATGAAACAGCTATTGTTCCTCCCATTTCTTACTGAAAGCAATGCCGTCATGAGGACTTCCAGCTGGTTTTAATGTGACTTTTCCCTCCTGTAAGCACCAAACCTAAACAGCTACACTCTAGACATGACGTTGGCTATTTATCTTACATCAGGTTTCCTCCAAATGGCGATAGTAAAGGACTTGAATATGGTTTTAATAAGTGACTTTAATCCAGCACTCCAAATCCTCATTCTTATTTCAGTTATATAAGAAAGATATTAAGTACCAGTCATTTATAATATACATCAATTTATCTTCAACTTCACTACGAATAGGTATATCTGACTTTCCTAAGTATTTACAAAACATTTTCAAATTCACAGTTATAAATGTGTAAATAACTAACTTTTACTTTATGCATAAAGTAAAAAGTAAATGAATGTCTAAGGAAGAAAATATGAAAGGAGGGCAGGTTAGGGACGCTTGAGCTAAATAGAAATATTACTTAGCTAGCATCTTACATTTTCCCAAAACCTCAAATGATAAATTTTTACTGATTTTGAAAATTATAAAGATGACCACTCAAGCAAAAAACTCACAGTCATTCAGCCAAATAGTTACCTAAAACTTCTCTTTCACCAGTGTGATTTAACGCCATCTTAGATAACTGTAACAAGCTGACAACCAGCTTCACCATTATGCCATCTTGTGGGTTACCTAGAAGCAGTTTTGGAAAAAAAATTAAACTATAATGGAAACAACACTTTTCTTTATGATATTACATTTTATATATTTAAACTTCCTGACTAGAAAACTTTTATAAAGTTTTTTGAAAAGGTTTTAAATCATGAGCACTTCAAAAAATATTAAGTGATAACCAAACTATTCTCTGACCACAATGCTCTGAAATTAGAAATCAACTGCAAAAAGGAAGTGGAAAAAAATACAAATATGTGGAGGTTAAAAAACATGCTACTGAAAAACCGACTGGGTCAAAGAAGAAATAAAATGTGAGATAAAAAGATATAGAAAGACAAATGAGAATGACAATATGACATATCAAATTTTGGGATACTGCAAATGTGGTAATAAAAGGGAAGTTGCCGAAACTAGTGTGGCTCAGTGGATAGAGCGTCGGCCTGTGGACTGAAAGGTCCCAGGTTCGATTCCGGCCAAGGGCATGTACCTGGGTTGCAGGCACATCCCCAGTAAGAGATGTGCAGGAAGCAGCTGATCGATATTTCTCTCTCATCGATGTTTCTAACTCTCTATCTCTCTCCCTTCCTCTCTGTAAAAAATCAATAAAATATTTTTATTTTAAAAAGAGGGAAGTTTATATCATTACAGGCCAATATCAAGAAACAAGAAAACACCTAACACTGCATATAAAGAACTAGAAGAGGAAGAAAAGCAGCCCAAAGTAAGCAGAAGAAAGAAAATAATAAAAATTAGAGCAGAATTAAATAAAATAGAGAGCTAAAGGACTATACAAAAATATTTATGCAAAGAGCTGGTTCTTTGAAAGATTAAAAAAATTGACAAACATCTGGCTATACTCAATAGAGAAAAGATAAGTAAATAAAATTAGAAAAGAGAAGTTACTACAGATACCACGGATATACAAGGATCATTCAAGAACATTATGAAAGAATATGACACCTAATTCAAAAATCAAGAGGAAATGTATAAATTCCAACCTTCCTAGACTGAATCACGAAGAACTGGAAAATCTAAACAGACCAATCAATAATGAGGAAATTGAAACAACCATCAAAAACCTCCCCAAAACCATGGTCGAGAATCCTTCTCAAACTCTTCCAAAAATTTGAAGAAGCTTCCTAACTCATTTTATTTATTTTTCATTTTTTTTACTATGAACCAGGAGGTCAAGGTTCAATTCCTGATGAGGGCATATGCTCAGCTGTGAGCTCAATCCCCAATAGGGGGTAGGCAGGAGGCAGCCGATCAATGATTCTCCCTCATTATTGATGTTTCTATCTCTTTTTCTCCCTTCCCCTCTCTGAAATCAATGAAAAAAAATATTATTTTAAAAAAACAACAACTCCCAAAACGTCAAAAGCCCAAGACCAGATGGCTTCATTAGTGAATTCTACCATACATTCAAAGAAGACTGGATCCCTATCCTTCTCAAACTCTTCCAAAAATTTGAAGAAGCTTCCTAACTCATTTTATTTATTTTTCATTTTTTTTATTTTTTTTCTTGCTTAAAGTATTACAAAGGGTATTACATATGTGTCTTAAAGTATTACAAAGAGTATTACATATGTGTCCTCCCCCCGCCCTGCCCTTGACAGTCCCCTAGACTCCCCTATCCCCCAGTGTCTTATGTCCATTGGTTATGCTTATATGCATGCATACAAGTCCTTTGGTTGATCCTAACTCATTTTATGAGGTCAACATAACCCTACTACCAAAACCTTGCAAGGATAACCCACGCAAAAAAGAGAAATACAGACCAAAATCTCTGATGAATACAGATCCAAAAATCATAAACAAAACCCTAGCAAATCAAATATAATGATACATTAAAAACATAATATATCATGATGAAGTGGGGTTCATTTCAGAGGCACAAGGAATATGCAAATAAATCAATGTGATATACCAAATTAACAAAATAAAAGATAAAAACCATATGATCATATCAATAGATGCAGAAAAAGCACCTGACATGACACAACACTTATTTATAATTAAAACAATTAAATGGGTACAGAGAGAAAGTACCTCAACATAATAAAGGCCTTATAAAATAAACCCTTAGTTAACAGCATACTCAATGGTGAAAAACTGAAAGCTTTTCCTCTAAGATCAGGAACAAGATAAGGATGTCCACTCTCATCACTCTTATTCAACACAGTACTGGAAGTCCTAGCCGGAAAAATCAGGCAAGAGAAATAAATAAAAGGCATCCACACTGGGAATGTAAAAGTAAATTTGTCACTTTTTCCAGATGACATGGTTCTTTATATGGAAAACCCTAACGATTGCACCAAAAAAGCTATTAGAAATAATAAACCAATAAAGTTGAAAGATACAAAATAAATGTACAAAACTCCATTGCATTCTTACATGCTAATAATGACATTTCAGGAAAAGAAAGGAAAAAGATTCTTTGTGCAATTGCAAAATACCTAGGAATAAACTTGAAGGGTGTGAAGGACCTATATACTAAAAATTACAAAGCATTATTAAAAGAGATTGAAAAAGCCACAACAACATAGAAAGATATTCCATGTTCATGGGCTGGAAAAATCAACATAGTTAAAACGGCCTTATTACTCAAAGCAATATATAGATTTAATGCAATTCCCATCAAAATCCCAATGTCTTTTTTTCTAAAGAAACGGAACAGAAAGTCATCAGATTTGTATGAACCCACAAAATACTCTGAATAGCCAACACAATCCTGAGAAAAAAGAACAAAGCTGGAATATCACATTCCCTGACTGCCAATTATACTACAAAGCAACAATATTCAAAACAGCATGTTATTGACAGAAAAACAGACACACAGACCAATGGAATAGAATTGAGAGCCCCAAAATAAATCCACACGTGTATGGTCAAATAATTTTCAACAAAAAAGCCCAAAACACACAATGGAGAAAAGGAAGCCTCTTCAATAAATGGTGCTAGGAAAATTGGAAAGCCACATGCAAAAGAATGAAACTAAACTACTGTTTCTCCCCTTATACTAAAGTTATGGACTTTGGTCTTAGAGAGAGGATTTGGAGCATTTGACCCAAAAGGCAAGGGAAGTGAAAAAAAATTTTTTTAATGGGATTATATCAAACTAAAGAGATTCTGTACAGCAAAAGAAACCATCAATAAGACAAAAAGGCAACCAACAGAATGGGAAAAGATATTTGAAAATAACAGCTCTGACAAGGGGTTAATATCCAAAATATACAGAGAACTCATACCACTCAACAACAAAAAACAAACATATAATTAAAAATGGGCAGAGGACCTGAACGGGCACATCTTTCAAGAAAACATACCATGGCCAATAGATTTATGAAAAGATGCTCAACTTCTGCAATGAAATACCACCCCACACCTGTCAGAGTGGCCATTATCAACAAGACAAGTAATAAGTGTTGGAGAGGCTGTGGAGAAAAAGGAACCATCATTTATTGCTGGTAGGAGTGTAAACTGATACAGGCACTCTGGAGAACAGTTATATAGAGGTTCCTCAAAATATTAAGAATAGCTTTACCACATGACCCTTCAACCCTCTTTTGGGTATCTACCTGAAAAATTTTAAAACATTTAGTTGCAAAGATATATGCACCCGTATGTTCAGCACTTTCACAGTGACCAAGACATGGAAACAACCAAAGTATCCCTCGATAAATGATTAGATAAAGATGTGGTGCATATATACAATGGGTTATATGAACAAACAAAACTCATAGATACAGACAATATATGGTAGTTACCAGAGGGAATGGGGGTGGAGATTAGTGAAGGGTAGAGGGATTGAGTATATGGTGAAACAAATTTGACTTTGGGTGATGGGCACACAATGCAGTATACAGATAATGTATCATAGAATTATACATTTGAAACGTATATAACTTTATTAACCAATGTCACACCAATAAATTTAATAAAACAATAAAAAATAAAATGAAGTAAATGTATTTGAATTTCCCTATGAAATAAAACTATGCAAAAATGACCAGCAACATTTGGCAGAAAGAAAGAAAAATTTCTTAAGTTGTACAGAAAAATTAATACCATAGCAAAATCACAAACACAAAAATCATTCAACATGATCAGGAGCTAGAAGAAACCCTGGGAGATATGCTTGGATTTTAACTGCTGGCATTCAGTCTATACCAGAACTATCAAATAGAACTTTAGACAATGAGGGAAATATTCTATAATCTGCACTATCCAATGATAGCCACTTAGCTACATGTTAATACTGAGAACTTGACATGTGCAAGTATGATGAAAAAACTGTATTTTAAATTTTATTAAGTTTTTATTCATTCCTATTTAAGTAGATACAAAGAGGTAGTGGCTGTTTTGGACAAGACATGTTAGGCGGCCGAAACCAGTTTGGCTCAGTGGATAGAGCATCAGCCTGTGGACTGAAGGGTCCCAGGTTCGATTCTGGTCAAGGGCATGTAGCTGGGTTGCGGGCACATCCCCAGTGGGGAGTGTGCAGGAGGCAGCTGATCGATGTTTCTCTCTCATCAATGTTTCTAACTCTCTATCTCTCTCCCTTCCTCTCTGTAAAAAAAACCAATAAAGTATATTTTAAAAAAAAAAAAGCCCTGGCTGATTTGGTTCAGTGGATGGAGCGTCGGCCTTCGGACTGAAAGGCCCCGGGTTCGATTCTGGTCAAGGACACATGCCTGGGTTGTGGGCTTGATCCCTAGTAGAGGGTGTGCAGGTGGCAGCCGATCAAAGATTCTCTCTCATCATTGATGTTTCTATCTCCCTCTCCCTGCCCCTTCCTCTCTGAAATCAATAAAAATATGTTTTTTAAAAAAAGACATATTAGACCAATAAAATACCCAAATAAATGATAATAAGAGACAGAGGTGTTCATATCTTATATATAGGTAGATATAAAAACAAATACACTAGAATCTCAGAATTCAGGTGGCTATCAAAATTAGTTTTAAAAAGTACTTAGGATAAAAAGAATACAACAGAAATACGAAATTAATGAGCACAGGAAGATGAAAATCAAGTAAGTAGAGCTTGAATTCTTTACTTGAATTCAATTCTTTGGAGCTTGACTTCTCCAAAGAGGGGATACGAATGGCCAAAAAATATATGAAAAAATGCTCAGTCACTAATCATCAGGGAGGTGCAAATTAAAATGACAATGACATACCTCCTCACACCTGTCAGAATGGCTACCATCAACAAATCATCAAATGACAAGTGCTGGCGAAGATGTAGAGAAGAACCCTAGTAAACTGATGGTAGGAAGGCAGACTGGTGCAGCCACTATGGAAAACAGTGTGGAGTGTCCTCAAAAAATTAAAATATGGAACTGCCCACTTCTACGAATATATCCTAAAAAGCCTGAAACACCAATCAGAAAGAATATATGCACCCTATGTTCACAGAAGTGTTACTTACAATAAGATCTGGAAACACCCAAGTGCCCATCCATAGTTGAATGGATAAAAAAGCTGTGGTGCATTCACAAAATGGAATACTATGCAGCTATAAAAAAGAAGAACCTTTTACCCTTTGAGACAACATGAAGGGACCTGGAGAGTATTATGCTAGGTGAAATAAGCCAATCAGAAAAAGATAAATATCACATGATCTCACTTATATATGGATCTAATGTACAAAATAAACTAATAAACAAAATAGAACCAGAGACATGAAAGCATGCAACAGATTAAGGATTCTCAGAGGGAAGAAAGTGGGGGCAGGAAGAGATTAACCAAAGAACATATATGCCTATATGCATAACCCATGGACAAAGACAATAGTGGGGGAGAGTACAGGAGTGGGGAGGAAGGGATCAATGAGAGGGAAAAAAGGGGGACATCTGTAATACTTTCAACAATTAAGATAAATTTTTAAAAAATAAGTAGAAAAAGATTCCCCCAAGTACAATAGTATAATAACCCAAACTCAAATTAAATTAATATAAAACGTTTCTTAAGGAAAACAAAGCTAGAAACATATATAGATATGTGTATATACAAACATATATATGTGTATGTGTGTGTGTGTGTGTGTGTGTGTGTGTGTGTAAACATCATACTTAAATGATGTTTAAAATGAGACAAATTTCTTTTATTTAAGTACTAGAGGCCCAGTGCACAAAAATTTCTGCACTCAGGAGGGTCCCTCAGCCCGGCCTGTGCCCTCTCACAGCCTGGGACCCCTCAGGGAATGACCATCTGCTGGCTTAGGCCTGCTCCCCGGGAGATTGGGCCTAAGCTGGCAGTCAGAAATCCCTCTGGCAGCCCGGGAGCCCTCCAGGGATGTCCACTTGCAAGCAGAAGCAGGCCCAGCTGGGCAGTCAGACATCCTTAGTGCTGGTGAGGGGGCGGGACAGGCTCCACCACTTCTGTTTCAGTCTGGCAAAGCCCCCCAGCGGGGACCCTCACCCCAGGAGGTTGTGGCCAGCCTGGGTGAGGGACTGATGGCTGTTTGCAGGCTGGCCACAGCCCCCAGCCACCCAAGCTCCCAGTGGAGGGTGGCTGGAAGCAGGTATCTGGGATTTATTTAGCTTCTATAATTGAAACTTTGTTGCCTTTTGTGTAGGCCACAGCCGGCCAGAGCAGGTGGGAAGCTTGGCTTCCTCCATCGCCAGGGCAAGCAAGCCTCCTGCTCGCTCCAGCTCCGTGGCTGCTAGCTGGCATCTTGATTGGGTTAATTTGCATACAGTCACTCTGATTGGCTGGTGGGCGTGGCTTGGGCTTAGCAAAGGTATGGTCAATTAGCATCTGTGTCTTTTATTAGTGTAGAAGTTTTAGACAAAAAAAAAGAAATTGGAGTAGTAGGCAGACGGACCTTGTATGTCTGGCTCTAAAAAATTCATGTCTCTTTTAGGCAGCAGGAAGTTAACCGTTTCTTTTAAAGAAATATATATTTTGTATTGATCTCAGAGAGGAAGGGATAGGGAGAGAGAGATGGAAACATCAATGTTGAGAGAATAATTGATCGGCTGCCTCCTGCATGCCCCCACTGGGGATCGAGCCCACAACCCGGGCATGTACCCTTGACTGGAATTGAACCCGGGAACATTCAGTCCACAGGCCGACACTCTATCCACTGAGCAAAACCAGCTAGGACGAGTTAACCATTTTTAAACAATGAAATAACATGATCATGTTTGGGTTTAGAGAAATCATTCTGGCAGAGGTGTAGAGGATGGATAAAGTGGGAGTAGTTCAAGGTCAGAAGACCATTAGGAAGTCTTTTATAGTTACATGAGAAATGATGAAAGTCTGAACTAAATGATGAGAATCTAAGTCCACGGCAATTAAACCAACAGCAAGAGTTTATAGATCGAGAAAACCAAGATGGCAGCATAGGTAAACACCAGAGATTGCTGCCTTGCACAACCACTTCAAAATACAACTAAATGACGGAACGGACATCATCCAGAACCACAGGGGGGCTGGCTGAGTGGAAATTCTACAACTAGAAGGAAAGAGAAAAGCACACTGAGACTCAGAGGAGGTGCAGTGCGGAAGTAAAATACAGAGGTATAGAGGCGCATGCAGAGAGGGCTGGCGGCTGAGGACTCAGTTGTCTTTTTCAATCGGGAGGGAGTCTCAAGCTCTGAGCTCCAGTTCCAGGCAAGTCTCTAGGGACCCAGACTCATATGGGAGAAACTGGACTGCCTGGCATCGGTCGGAACTCGAAGGCAGCTTTCTCTTGCAGGTGCTTGCAGCGACTGCCGGGGCACTGAGAAGCGGGGCCACTGAGGACAGCCATAACTGCTCGCTCCACCCTGTTGATACCCTGGGACCCCGCCCTGCCCAAGCCCTGCACGGAGGCTTTTGCATATGAAAGGCCTGGCCCTTTGCAATCTGATAATTACCTAACAAACTGCAGCTGGCCAAAGGCCCCAGGGCAACTTGCATTGCTTCACAGCTGGCTCCTGCTGGGTAGCCTCAGGCAAAGCCTAGATTAGCACCTCCTTAGATATCCAGGAGCCAGTGGACC